GTTTGTCACTATTACACTAACACAAAAGATCGTCCGTGTATAAGCCCCCCCCCCCGTATATAAGCCCCTCCTTGTATAAGCCCATCAAAAATCGCTTACGGAAAAATATAAGCCCAGGGCTTACAGTCGGAGGTTTACGGTATTTTGTTCTTAATGCTGAATACCTCAATGGCCTTGGCAATGTTCCTCGAGCATATTCGGCTGGGAAGGATTAGTCAAACTCTGCCAATCGGTGAACTATAGAACAAGCTAGAACTAAGATTATATGGCGATTGATTGTTGTAACATATTATAATAATGAGAGATTGAGAATGCACAAACAGGCCGGGGTTGCATGGTGATCGCGATCTAATTAATGCTAAGCACTTAAGTGCTTAGCCATGATTTCATGATAATATATAATACTTGACAAAACCATGCAACTCTCTAGCCTGTGTGTCAGTAACAGTGTAGTCAACTGGAACACAGGCTATAGTAACACAAAACGCACTACTGTGTACTTACTGTAATTTTAGATGTTACAAAATATATTTTTATATACAGTTCATAATATTGTTTGATTATAGCGTACTTGGATGATTAATTGCCTGCAGAATTATTGTTTAGCTATTTCGTTTTAGCGCATCTTATTCAGTTGACGCAACATCATTTGACCAACGAAAGTGCGCGATGTTTCGTACTCCGACTTTGACCGTTATTTACTGGTTGTTATAAGTAAAAAAATTGGCCAAATCAACCAAAATATTGTTGGTGAATATCCGTATACCATTTGTATTATAGTTAAAACAACCTATATTTATTTGGTTGAAATATGCTCAATTTGACAGTTTAAATTTTAGTCATTTTAACTTTTGAATATAGGTTGGAATTACCTTTTTTAATTGGTCAAAATAACCATAAATTTTTAGTTCAATCAACCAATAATTAATACGTTAAAATGACATATTACAGATTTATAGGTTAAAGTAACCATTTTCTATGGTTTGTTTTAACCTATTTAATTTTAGTTGTTTTAACCTATTAAAACAACCTATTTCTTATGGGTTATAAACCAACCCATTTTTAATGGTTTGTTTTAACCTATTTATTTTCGGTTCTTTTAACCTATTGAAATAACCTATTTTTATCGGGTTGTCCTAGACCAAACCAAATAACCTATTTTTTTTTGGTTATTTTAACCTATCAGTTTTTACAGTGTAACTGGTGCAATTACTCAAAAAATGAGTAACATTTACTCAAATGAAAAAATGCATTTTTTGCAGTGTAGGCATCTTTATTACTATTAGTTTATTTATTTATTTATTTATTTAATTTATTTATTTATTTGATTGACTTCGCCATTATCATGCATGCATTCATGGCAGGGTCACCACAACAGTATATGTTACCAATTACTGTGGGCCCTTAATATTATATATTTATGCACATGCAGATTTAGCACACAAAAACACTCTGTTGGTCTGTTGCTCTCTGTTGGTCTGTTTAGTTTCGTACCACAAGATGTGGCACTCATCAGATAAATTAGCCTTAAAAGACAAACAAAATAAAAAAAGAAAAAATATATAAAAGACAAACTTGAGTTACTTCGTTTAAAACATTTATTCACGACAAATTTGTTGTGAGTGTGGCAAGCCTAGTTTGCCATACGAAACAAATTTGTCGTGAATAAATGTTTTAAACGAAGTAACTCAAGTTTGTCTTTTATTTGCTCTACTTTTGTATCGAGTACTCTATTCTTATGATTCGACACTCAATATACTTATTGACATTCGCCTATATATATATATATATATATATATATATATATATATATATATATATATATATATATATATATATATATATATATATATATATATATATATATATATATATATATATATATATATATATATATATTAAGGTACAACAATCAACAAAATCCACTACAATCCTGGACATAAATTATTGGCAAAAGGGTACAAAATAAGAAAACTCATCGAATTTCACCTCTCTTCCCCTAATATCAATGTTGATGGGTGTATTCGAGGCCAGATAACTTGGCAAAACATTGATATTGGGGGAAGAGGGGGTCATTGGGGCAAAAATGTCATAAAATTATATTTTGAAGTAATAAACTAGTTTTTGCCACTATTTTTGTCCAGGATTCAATCCTGGACATAAATTATTGGCAAAAGGGTACAAAATAAGAAAACTCATCGAATTTCACCCCCTTCCCCTAATATCAATGTTGATGGGTGTATTCGAGGCCAGATAACTTGGCAAAACATTGATATTGGGGGAAGGGGGGGGTCATTGGGGCAAAAATGTCATAAAATTATATTTTGAAGTAATAAACTAGTTTTTGCCACTATTTTTGTCCAGGATTGTAGGCATCTTTATTACTAAATAGTTTCGTACCACAAAATGTGGCACTCTTCAGTTAAATTGACCGATTGGTCAATTGGTTTAAGTTCGAATTTGAACGATGCTCACTACAAAACTGTAAATAAATCTATAACTCATTGGCTATTTTAGGACAGAAAGTGCATGAGAATCGTTGTTGGAAAATCATTCGTATCTTTGTCAGTTCGTTACGAAAACTTCTAAAATCGTGCTATCTTATAAAATATGTTGGACTTTAAATGTATAGGGTGAATTTGTTTGATATTGTTTGCTATTAAGGCTTTTATGGCGTGTGAACCCATGAAAATATAGTGAGATTCGTGGTGAGATTCGTTTCTATATTGATCTCATTGTCACATACAGTATACGCGCTTAGTTATGCTAACAATATGGCTCAGTTGTCAATTTTCTTTAAATAGAGTCCCACTACCGTTACCATATACATGAAACTAAATGAATTGCTACTAAAATGTAGCACTACCAGCGTTTAAATCTGATTTTCAATAAATATATGTGATGTTTCACTAGCCGGATTTTAGCTATTTCCTAATTAACATATGCAAACATTGTACAGGGTGTCCCCCAAAAAAGTACCCTCTATAGAAATTATCCTATTGTTATAATTTGAATGGCTGAGCACTATGCTGAACACAAGAGTGCGTAAAGGTAGGTAGGTAGGTAGGTAATACTTTATTTAAAATTAACAGAAAGAAGAACACGCTAGCCCCATCAACTCTAGGCTGGTTTCCATGGGGGGCGTGTTTAGATCATAAAAATCATTAAAAGGAAAATTTAAACTAAATATTAATACACACATACTGTACACGTTACTATATACAAATAATTAGGAAGCATGTCGCTGTCCAACAATTGATTTAAACGAAGGAGGCGACTCGGCCAATTTTGCTTCGTTTGGGAGTTGATTCCAGAGCATAGCGCCGCTATATTTAAAACTTTTTTTAAGAAATTCTCGTTTCGGTTTAGGAATTGTTAGATCAGTTGCTGTATTTCGAAGATGATAATTAGTTTGATCTATTTCCCTTCTCGCGAATGACCCCCGGAGACCTGGCGCAGTGTGGTCGTTAAGTATTTTATACATTAATACTGATTTGGCACCAGACCGCCTATTTTCAAGTGTATCCCAAGAAAGCATGTTGAGAAGATCAGCTGAGCGAATATCATAATTAGCACCCGTTAGGACTCTTGCTGCACGAGACTGAAATCTTTGCAACTTGTCTCTTAGCAACTTACCACAAGTGTCCCAAAGGGGGGAACAGTAATCAAAGTAGGGTTGCACAAGACTTTTATAAATCGATTCTAAGGTATGCATTGGAACAAAGGGCTTTATACGTTTCATAGCGCCAATAGCAGCGCTCGCCTTCTTACATATCATTTCAATGTGACTATCCCAATTAAGGGTTTCATCTAGTTTTACTCCTAGGCACATTTGTGTAGCAATTCGTGATATGGGTTTTGCATTAGCCACAACGGGTTCCTCACACATTATATTATTAAGATTATACGGGGAGCCAATAAACATCATTTTACATTTTGATGGATGCATCTGCAGCCTATTTTCTTTAAGCCAGTTACAGACATGGGCAAGATCTGAATTTAAATTTACAACAAGTTCGTTTCGAGATAACACGAGATCTCGACTTATAACGCGAGATCTCGACTTATAACGCAAGATCTCGACTTATAAACACGCGAGATCTCGACTTAGAACACGAGATCTCGACTTATAAACACGAGATCTCGACTTAGAACACGAGATCTCGACTTATAAACACGAGTTCTCGACTTATAAACACGAGATCTCCTCTTATAACGCGAGATCTGGACTTATAACGCGAGATCTCGACTTATAACGCGAGATCTCGACTTAGAATACGAGATCTCGACTTATAACGCGAGATCTCGACTTAGAATACGAGATCTCAACTTATAAAGCGAGATCTCGACTTATAACGCGAAATCTCGACTTATAACGCGAGATCTCGACTTAGAACACGACACATGGCCATATGTGTACGCTGGCCATTTGTGCAGCGGCTTCATAAACATCAAAAGGAATTAAAGATGGCTGACACTCGAACAGAGACAGGAGGAGGAGTAGATGAGGTGAGTTATTGACTGATATGAAATCAAATATGACAAGGACCTAATGTCACTCTTGTTAACCACAAGAAAGTTGTTACCTTTGCATTTGTGAAGACAAACTTTGAATTATGTATTTTCGTTTCAAGCTTTGGCTGAGAATTGTATGTTTTTGTTTATTGGCTATAGAAATTGTTTATATCAAATATGTTTATATTGCTTTCAAAATCACTTATTTCTATATTTGAATTCAATTTTATTTTACAGGTGTTGGATTTTTTAAAAGGAAGAGGCATTTCCGAGCCTTTAATCCTGACAAATTTTGAGAATGAAAAGGTATTGAATGATACATTTCTTGTAGCCGGGAATTAGTCAGTTAGGAATATCATTGAAAATATTTTCTTCGAAGCTAGTAATTTTGTAATAGCAATGTTGAATTGTTCAAAGGCACAATATGGCATTTTATGTATTGTAAGTTTTAAAATTAATTAAAATGATTATGTATTTGAAATTAAATTATGCACAAAAATAAAGGTGGTTCAATACAGTTTTAAAACAAAAATAGGTACGCAAGGCTTACGTGTATCAGCGCATAATGCATTGATGTTGAGGGAATTGAATTTTTCATAGCAATTGGGCAAAATTGTGCTATTTTTTGAAATTATATGTGTGCTTCATATAAAGAATATTTACATACATACAAACTTTACAGGCGTTCTGTGACCCCCGTCCGCGATCATATCAGATCATGTCAACGGCATCTGGTAATTACTAAAATAACATCGCCCAAAGTTCGAGTTTTATATTCAAAATTCCAAAGAATTTTCTCGTTGAAAATTGCTGAATATTTTTCATCTACAACTTTAGAAAGTGGGAAATATTTCAAGATGCATGGGCCATCATCATTCGAATATTTACCAACAAAGAACAAATATGACTGGTTTATACTTTATTTTGTCTAAACTGATACATTCCCAATTTCCCATGCACATGCAAATTACATCCTCTGAGAAAATGCACAAACTAACCCCTCTGAAATTTGAAATCCTTGACGTGGCTAGAAAAACAGTAAATGCCATACCATCACAATATTTACTAAATGTCAGCAGATCCCTTTATTTATATGTTACTGTATATTCTGTATATTTAGATTTTCTGCATTAAATTATTTTGTATTTTAGCGAGTGCCGGTGGCGTGGTTGTCTAGGGTGTTGCATGCATTCGTACATGCTGCTAATTGGTGGTTCGAATCACGCAATGGCAAATATTTTGTTTTTCGTTCTCATATTTTTTTCTTTAATAATTCTCCTAAGACTGCTTTTACAATACAGGGGAGTTATTATTGTATGACTGTAAATTACTATTATTAAATTGCCTCCTTCTTTCAAAATTTGATAAATTATTTTTTAATAGTTGAGGCCATTTTGTAGTTTGCGCCAATTTCCATAATTGTGTTAATTAATGCTAAATGTTGAGCCGCTGACATCATCTGATTTGATCGCGGACGGGAGTCACAGAACGCCCGGGATAAATTGACTACCTTATTTAACCACGCTAGCCTGAACAACCATTAGGAGGCTTATTTCCATAAGGGGCGTGAAATATAGAATTAATTATTTACAAATTAAAAAAAAAGAAATATGAAAAAAGATAAAATAAGACTAGCTAGATTGCAGAATAGGGAACAAAAAAAATACAACGATTTTTCATGCACAATCATGCATGAGCAAGTTTCACCTCATTCTTTGTTTTAATATTGATTGACCAGTGACTTCTAGATTAAGAGGAATAGTTCCAAGACATGCTTAATGAAAATCTATGGGCACTTATCGAGGTCACAGCAAATGGCCTAGTATTACTTTGATGAAACCAGGGCCTTAGGTAGACCGCTAATTTGGGGCGGGGTGTGTGCATATTCCTATATTCGTATTCTGTCTGACGGATTTCTTTTGAAGGTGATTGTTTTTACGGTATGTGAACATGAATACCCCCTTCCCCCCAATTATCGTGTATAGCTACGGCCCTGGATAAAGGAAGCCCAGGCAATCCATGCTTTTATATTTGTATATACAGTAATACAGAAAATAATCACTGAATTTTTTGTGGATTGCGTAGGCCGCTCGTGGCCTGTTTTGCTATTTATATTTTTTAAACAAACAAGCATAAAATGAACAACTTGCATATGCAAATGTCATGTCAGGCTGTATCGCAAAGGCTGACATTTGGGTTAGTTGCATGTTTGCAAATGCAAGGAGTATGAGTCTAGTTCTAGGCAATATGTTGGATCTGTTTCCATTTTTGCAGTTTTTTCTATTTATGTACAGTTAAACTGAAGGGCAAACAGTTTAATTTCTATTTTTGTCTTTGATTGGTTGCATGAATCATATCCTTTGCCAAGATTTGTTGTTACCTGCAATAGTACAAAGGTTTTGTAATTTGTATTAATCGCTTTCTGGAAGGTATAAAGGTTCCTTTAGTAGGTTTCTTGTAGATAAAGCTATACAATCCATCTGTCTTTTAATTTATGTATTGTTATTAATGATGGAAAACAGCCTTGTCACATAAATGCAAATTTGTGTGTTGATGACGTGATTGAGCACTAAATCTATCTGGCAGCTGGGGAACGTATTCAACAAAAATATTTACACCTAAAAACATGACATGTATAGCGTAAGAACTTTGTCATGATAATTTGAACTGGGACAGACTGACCCTTTTTGATTACTTCAATGTATAGCGGTGCAAATATGTACGGTTTTCGTTCAAACACGTCAAACATACTCCTCTCTTACCTCAAATTTACCTCCCAAAATCTGGGGAGGTACTTCATGAGCTCCAACCAAGATATATAAAGTTAATCAGCATGCTTCTATATTAAGTACAACATAATTATCAATAGTTCCAGTTAATCTTATATGAATGGTATAACAGTGATAATATAAATTAATTTTCTTTTGAAATAGATGGATGTTGCAGCCGTATCATCAGCTACACATGAATGTCTTACAGATTTAGGGCTACATGCAAAAGGGGATATTTTTGCTTTGAAAGCATTTTGTCATCGTCGTCAATTAACATTTACCAGTAAGAATGTAGTGGATGATGAGACAAACGATTATGAGGATAGAAAGAGGAAACTTCTGGCACAACTGCAAACAGGAAGCCAAAAGAAAAGGAACAAATCTGTTGACAAACATTCTAGTTCCAGCATGTCTAAGAGACCTGTTCAAAAATATAAAACACGTAAAATATTTCTTGGTTGGCTTCATTATTCTGAAAAAAAAGAACGGTTTGTAGCAGTGAGACTAAACAGTGGAGGAGGAACCAGAAGATTAGATGTTGGGAGCCATTTCAATAAGGAGATGCTTATTGAAGAAGGCAAGAAATTGTTTTATCCGAGTGGCGAATCTTCTCAAGGACAAGCTGACGACATGATTTTTGATCTTGCCAACTTCAAAGGAGAAAGCATCGGCATTCTGGGTGATGAAGATAATAAACAGCCTTTCTCTATACAAAAGTACATTGAAATGAACAAACTGACACAAGTCCGACTCTACTTGACAACTAGGCATATACCGATAGATTCTTTAGACGTCGACAATGAGGATAGAGGACTCACAGATGAAGACATTAAAATGAGCACATCAGATAATGAAGAAATCATAGTAGAAAGTGGAAGTGAAAACGACGATGAAGTTCTAATGCATCCCGTTTTCGATAGTGGTACAACACTTATTGGTTCTTCAGAAGAAAGGCAAAACCTAATGGAAGAGCAAGACCGGTTATTTCAAGAATCATTAGATAACGATCGTCGTAAGGAAAACAGTATATCAGAAGCCAAGGAAATGGAAGAAAACGAAAAAACCCGTTTAGAACAACTTAGACAAGCGAGACTCGAAAACGTTCCACCAGAACCACATCCACAGCTTCCTCGTGTAAGAATAGCCGTGAATCATATCTTCATGGGCAAGATTGTTCGTTCATTTTCAGTCCTAGATAGCATGCAGGCAGTTTATGATTGGGTTGGCTCTTGTGCACTTCATCCAGAGCACTTCAATCTTTCTCAATGCCAAGGACAAATGATTATGCCGTCTGATCCAATTGCAAATGTGGCGAACTGTACTCTCTACATGGAAGTATCAACGAGCCCAGTGCAAGTTCGTGAACAACAAGAAGTGCTTGCTTCAGAAAACGACATCCTTCCTGATACAACTAGGTAGGCACCAGCGTGGATCTTACAAGCCATGGATGATATCTTTTGATTATTATTTTGAATGATTCAAACTTTTTATTTAGTGTAGTGTTAACGCTGCAACCAGGGCCGTAGCGATCGGGAAGATGTGGCGAGTGCAACATCTCCCACCCCCACATAATTTTTCATGAGTAATTTGAGGTAAATTTCCAGCAGATTTTCAGGTGAATTCAGGTAATTCTCAGGACATAAAAAAGGAACTCTGTGCTCTGAATTAGAATTAGAGTTAACAATTGACCAACTAGTTAAAGAAGTTCAGACGCGTGGCCAAATACCCTTTCTGACGGGGACATGACCAAATACCATTTCTAACGATCTAGACACTCCAAATTTCCGAAATTTTCTCAATTTTCCTAGTCACATTAAATTGTTTAAGTAACACTGTTATATTGATCAGTAGTTATTTTTCTCATCTCCATTGTTAAGCAGTACTAAAACATTGAAATCTTGGGTAGGAAAGACTAAAAAAATGCTATTTCCGACGGTCTAGAGAATTCAAATTTTCAAATTGAATGGGACTCGAGTCCCAAAATCAGGCAAAAACCGTTAAGGTGGCTCAATACAGTTTTTAAGAAAATGGAAAATTCACGACTTAGATGCGTATTTTTGGACAATTATTACTTGTTGATAAACAAAAAGTACCTTACTTATATAAAACAACATCTAAGGAGTTTGAATTTTTGCACAAAAGTTACGCAACTGCCGTTGCTATGGCAACAACGACGTTTCAAGTTGGCGGATATTTTGACTTTAAAGTAATTTAACTCGTAAACGACAATTATTCATAATAATTTTTTTTGGTCCACAGAATTTTTTTTAAATTGTACGAATGTTACGATAATTGATTATAACTAGAAGTTACTATCGCAAGGAAAGTGCTGCCTCACCCCAAGGGATCAAAGACAGCATGCGTAATTTGCTGAATAAGGGGCTGTTTTATATATGATCCCGCTTTGCCATGACGAGATGTGAGCCGGGGTTATTTTGATGTATTGAAACAAGTCACAGTGCAAAATTCATTATTTTCTTGAGATAGATTAATTAGTTAACTGTAAACGAAACATAATAACAATCTTCTGGAACTACAAGATCTTCTCTACAATATTTGAATTCTCTTAACCAGCATTTTAACTTTTGTTTAGCCTACTGACTTATTTCAACACATCAAAATAATGACATCCCACCTTCCATCATGTAAACAGCCCCTAAGACACCTGTTCAGTATGTAGGAAAAGTGCAATTTGAATATCAAACACCTTGCAAATTCGAACTAAATTGCAAGCAAAATCCCCAATCTCAGCCAAAATATTACATAAATCCGCAATCCGCTGTATTAATAAGATTGGTGGAATCCGACAATCCGAAAACCTATTCACCCCCCCCCCTTATAACTTCTTGCTTTTGTATGTACATTTATAACACTGTCAGTGGTGAAGCTAGTCATTGCAACAGATCATGCTATGCAAGTTTTTAATAATTTGCATTAGTCAAATAGATGCAGGTTTATTGGCGTGGTATGACCAGTTGCCATGGCAAGCTTGCCACTGAATATCAGACAAAATCATATTATATATAAATGATAATACTTGAATGAATCATTGGACATGTAGAATTTAATTATAACAGTTTCATATATTTAACAATTATTGGATGGGGCTGAGCAGGATATCCAGCAGGAATTCGGCAGATAACATTGACCAAGGTCTGAATAATTCTGGTATCCTGCGCAAGCCGAATTCAATAATTGTTTTATTATTCATTTTGTGACAGAAAGAAAACAAAACAAGCAACAATTGAAAACAAATAAAATAATATTCATTGAATTGATTAACTTTTCGTAAATTCAACTGAAAATTTCCCACCAATTTGTATTTTCACATAACATACCGCTGAAATATCTCGGACGCCGTCCAATAACCTCTGCAGATTATTGTTTCTGCTGGAAATAGCACAGGCACCTACAAATACCGAAAATTTTTTGTAGGCTCTTAGCCAATGAAAAACCGAGAACACAGTGCAATGAATAATAAATAGAAATATTAAGTGTCCCAATTATCGTTTTAATGGCACCTTCAAGGCTACCCCTATTGCAAAACCACTGAACAATCTGCTCACACCTGATGGGGAGACAAAATCTAATTGTTGACAGTTTTATTTCATTCGTCAGCTTCTGCATGGCGGCGACACCATTCATTTGTAATGATTAAGATTGTACTCAGTCAGAACTGCAAAACTATATAATACAAGAAATTGTAAGCGTTATCAAGAATATAGTATACCCTGAACTGTAGTGACACAGCCAGGTGAATATATAAAATGTAGGCCAGTAGGATAATTTCCTATATATTATGCTAACAATGGACATATCTCAGAGATATATTCTTACAGACCATTATATCGTTTACAAAAGTCGGTTGACATGTTATTACATGTATTAACTGCTGGTATAAAGTTTCCACACTAGGTTGCTATAGCAATATCTTTGTACAAGTCAATGAGTTTATAATTTTTCATTCGTATACAATTGTGTGTTCCAGTGCGGGCACGATACTGCTCAATCTAGTCAATTGATATTCCCATAATAACAATATTAATAATAAACTATCACTGTGATTATTTATACCTTGAAGTACGATATTCTAATAATAAGCTATGTTCAAGTTCAATCAGATTTTTTACAAACTGACCATCGACGACAGACGAGCTGCACTTGTTTATATGAAGACTTGTATGCACCTAAAAATTTAATAATTTAAATACAGTTAATTTATTCGCTTCAAGTTTCAACGCGTATCGACCAGAACACATTGTTATTTGTGATCAACCTTTCATCTTACCTTGAAAAATAATTCGACAAACAGCCAGAGTCCAGACATAAAATTTGCGACGACATTATGCGAACATGCAAACGTGTTTACAAATTGTCATGGTCCATGGTGGTGTTCGCGAGATTCAGCAAGGGTATTCGGAAAGTCAAGTCGCGATCTGGAGTATGTTATTTTTACTGTAAAATTTCTGTGACGTCAAATACGTCATAAATCTGATCATCCGTACAAACATCCTAAAAATGACTTGTTGGATCCACATAACTCGCGAACCGGAAACGGACTGGTGCGAGAAAAACACATCGTCAAGAATAGTGTGCTGCCTTCGACAGCAATAAGAGAAATCATTTTTTTAAATAAAATACTTTTAAATCGTGAATTTTCCATTTTTTTAAAACTGTATTGAACTACCTTAAATTGGAAAACTTCAAGTAAATCTAACCTCCCCCCCCCCAAAAACGCAAAGTCGTCGCAACGGCCCAGGCTGCAACATATACACGCGTACTGGCCCAGAACACCACTACTGTCTGGCCGTTAAAACCAACACTTAGGTCTTTAATTAAGGTTAGGGTAAATACCGGTCTCACATGTGGAGGGTTAAGTAGGCTAAGTTTTTAGGTTACCATCGTAAACAAGCACTTTTGTTGCGCAGTAATAAAAAACAGGGAAAATCGAATTTGGCAAAAATTATTACATTCAATTTTAACTTACACAGTTCGAACACGCCTCCCTTTCTTAAAGGGGGAAATTCGCCTTCTCAAAAAAGGGCATGAATTTTTTAGTTATGATGGCAACCTCGTTCCCAGGGCTTTTCCCTTTTTGTCATTGGGAAGGCGGGAAAAGGCCCTGGCACCGGCCGGTCACATGACTTTCAACACCCAGATATAGTGGGTGTAATAAATTATAATAATAATGAATTAGAAAATCCAAGATGGCCGCCAACCTAAGAGTGCCCACAAAATTTAAGTGCTTAGAGCGGCTTAAAAATGCGTTTAGTCTTTGAAATTTTTCCTTATTTTTGCTACCGACGTACTCGAAATCAGATTCTTCAGCTTTTATTACATGGGAACTATGTAGTTGCTGTTCTTCCAACTGGGTTTGGTAAATATCGTTCGCTAAACAAAATTAACAGATGTTCTCCAGCTGGGCAGGCGTGCCTATAAAGAGGACACGGAAAGTGTTTTGAACTGGGGATGTTAAACTTGGTTTTACCCTTCCAAAGACTCTGCTGTGCGACGAATGGAGCGAGTTTATGAGGAATATTTTATACAGTGATTCAAAGAAATGTTTTTGCATATACTGTATATGTTATTGATCTATTGTTGAATGTCACTTATATTATAAAGTGCCAATGGTTGGAATATTTATTCATTGACATTTTAAACACAGATGAGTGTTATATGCTCTTTCCTTGTTTACGTTTTCCTTGCAGCCAAATGTTGTTGAACAGTTGAAGCTGGCAAGCTGCAAAACTGACATACGAGTGATATGACCCAAATATTGGATATATGCATCTTAGTTTGCTTCCAGTAAAATGTAAACAAGACCTTAAGAATTCTATACGAGATAAGAAATATTCCGTTTAAAATCATGACTGGCAAATTAGCATGTGCGAATTGATGCTTCCTAATAATAGTATGTACTCCAGTCTCCAGTAAAGCTTGCTTCACACCCCTTACAAAAAAAGTCTATAGGCTTGGCCTATAGGCCAACCTATAGGTTCCTATAGGAAACCTATAGGTTTTTATAGGCAATTGGAACATTTTCTATAGGGATGCCTATAATCCTATGGAGCTCTATAGGGAATTGGCTTCTATAGGGAATTGGAACATTTCCTATAGGCCACCTATAGACTTTTTTCATAAGGGTGCTTCAATTCTTGCTGTTACCATCTGCACATTATCAGGGTGGAGAGTTGATTTGAATTTTTTGTCCCAGGGGATAAAGGTAGGGAATAGATTTTCCATCACAAAAGGGGCAAGGTGCCCAACCAGTTAGAAGATGGAATGTACTTTAAGTGACCATTCATTATACCCTAGGGTGGGGTGGGAGATTCTTATGTCAAAATGTCATGGGACCCCTTTTTAATCTCTTAATTTAATAATGGAGACCCCTCCTAAATATTTAAGACTATATAACATGA